CATAGGCTCTCATCAGGCACCACATTTGTGACCCTGTTTGTTTCAGTTTACCTCCACCTGATGTTAACATATCCACACTGAAGTTTCCACTTGGGTTATTTTTCCTGTCAGGGATACCATATGAGAAATCTTTTATCCTAGTGTTCAAATCTTTGTCGGAGAAAAGTTTCAATTTGCATACAAAGTGCCTGGTAATCAATTTCAAAACTAACGGGACTACGCCCTCTAAGAGATCGTGAAAGGCATCAAACACACACGATGAAGTACAGTCAAAGAAAGGTGCTTTATCTAAAAGAGAGCTCCTCTTCACTCCACAATCAGTTGAATAGGTAGGTCTTGCTTCGACTAATGCAATATGTCTCTGATGTTCTTCACGAGATCTGAGTTCGCCCATGGCATTGGCATTCAATCTTACTTCAGCTCTGCTGATCATACATCTTCTGCAGAAATGTTTGGCACCAGAACTTAAGAAACCCAAAATATCATGAGCTGCAAGGGAGTCAGCAGTCAGCACCACAAGCACAGCCCGCAACTCAAAAATTTCACCATCAATTTCTACTTGTATTCCTTCAGCCAGCTTCTTCAAATCATGGATGAGTGGAGCCAAAACTTTATCCATGGCACCCTTCTTCTTCAAGTCATCTGCATGGGCAAGAGCCACCAAGAAAATAGATGATAGTAGAGATGAAACTTCAGGGGGTAGGTTTAATACTTGACAGAAGAAGGTAGCTAGCTTGTGAATTATTGTTTTTGAGCCAAGAGAATTAGCTATTTCAAGTTCATCAAAAAATAAAATAAGCTGAATGACTCCCTCATGTTTCTGAATATATGGATGATGCTTGAAATGTGTACCATCAGCATAGGATCTCAAAACATTATCATTGGCAGTAGCCTTCTTCTTAAAAATAAGATCTCGAAACTTCTTATTTTTCATAAAAGTTATCAGAGATTTAATTACGGAGACATACTGAAAGGTTTCAGATACTTGTGTAGGAACATAACTGTTTGTTGAAGGATCTAATCTCATATCAATTCTTGTGTCTAAAACTTTCTGCGTAGGCTTTACAAGTCCATAGTGCTTTTCAAAATAATCTAACTGTTGATCAATTGTTCTCAGGTTTCTAAATGGGTCAGAAACAGACTCAAGTTCAGAAAGCACATCCTGGGTATCTTCGGCTGAAAGACCTTTCTCTTGTAGACGAACAGTGAATCTTTTTTTTATGCTGGCACATAGTCTTTGGATCATTTCATAGCAACCTTTTTCAAACCGCTGAACAGCGGCACCAGTCAAACTTGCCTTTGTTCTCAAGCCTAACAATAATTTCACAGCAGCTCTATCTAACTGTTCTTGAATTGTTCCGTCCTCTTCCTCATTTCCGAATTCTTCTTCACCAAGATGAGCAAAGACTGTATCATCTGAATCATCAACAATATCATCATCTTCAAGACTTGTGTCCATTGCAGTATCACAAACACCCTGATCTTCTTCAATAAGTGGGCCAGCTTGAACATTTTCTTCTTCAAAAAGAATCTTGTGAGCTGTTGTGATGTGGCGAATCATGGATGTCAAGTCTCTGTATTGTTTCCGGCAATCTAACTGACCGCACACATAATTAGACAATTTTTGATGTCTGCTGGCATAATGCCTATTCAAAGCAGCAGTTCCAATATAGATGTCATCTGTCTGACAAGTGCCACAAACTAAAGAGCCGGTTACTTTGACTAGCTCTTTATACTCCATTTTAGTCCCCCTAGTGGTGATGAGGGATCAGCGCCACACATTTAAAACCCTAAAGAACAGGAAACAGAAATCACTTAGTAAATGATCTGAAAACCAGTAATTGTACATTTATGTATGAACGAACAGCCATAGGAAAAAACTGGCAGATTAGATAGTAACCTTTTAACATCAGAAAAGTACGTACCACATTAAAAAGGAAGAATCATATTTGAGACTTTAGCAGAAATGCAGTCTTCAAAACAAAGTATAATACTATTTCACTTTCCAGTCAGTTCAGATAAAAAAAATTCCACTCAAACATTGAGCAAGAGCAGGAACTTGAAAGTTTGATGTTTACAAGAAACTGAAACATACAAGGGCACAAGGACTACATCACATACCTGGAATGGAAAAACGATTTGCCGTCCTCAAAATTATGTAAAAGTACATACCCAATGAGAAAGGAGAAAAGCTGGAGTCAATCCAATAGGGATAATATCCAAACATCCAACCTCCAACACTAAGAGCAAAGTTGAAAACCGACCCCTTTTAAGTCTGAAAAGAATTAAAGCCAAGCAGATTAGTTTCAAGGCACTATAATTTCTACTTCACTACCTCAGCGTTGCTTGCTTACCAATCTTCTATAAGTGAAACGTCTTGACAGACAATGAAGTGGATCAGATATGTTCACCCATTTCTACCGAAAACAGGTTAGAAACTGTTGCTTGTCGGCTTGTCGTGCAGCAGCTGCTGAGCGGCACGGCACAGAGGGACTTGAAAGTTTGATGTTAACAAGAAACTGAAACATACAAGGGCACAAGGACTACATCACATACCTGGAATGGAAAAACGATTTGCCGTCCTCAAAATTATGTAAAAGTACATACCCAATGAGAAAGGAGAAAAGCTGGAGTCAATCCAATAGGGATAATATCCAAACATCCAACCTCCAACACTAAGAGCAAAGTTGAAAACCGACCCCTTTTAAGTCTGAAAAGAATTAAAGCCAAGCAGATTAGTTTCAAGGCACTATAATTTCTACTTCACTACCTCAGCGTTGCTTGCTTACCAATCTTCTATAAGTGAAACGTCTTGACAGACAATGAAGTGGATCAGATATGTTCACCCATTTTTACCGAAAACAGGTTAGAAACTGTTGCTTGTGCTTGTCGGCTTGTCGTGCAGCAGCTGCTGCGCGGCACGGCACGGAGGGACTCGCGGGGGTTTGTGCCCACCAGGGAGCGCTAGGTGTATGAGTGCTCCAAGCAGAAGCCCCCCCCCCTCCCCACACGTACACTGGTTTGGACATATATGGTGATTTTTTAAGTATCCACCCCAAAA